ACTTTCTAAAATTAGTTAGAAACAACCTTTCTGAAAGGTTCAGTTAAATTAATACATGGCTCAAAATTTATTTTATCTATACTTTGTTACATTAAAAAAATAGTTTATGTGAAATAATAGCTAATGCACAAAGAAACAAATACTTACAAATAATTGTATATTACACTTTCAAGTGCAATTAAGTAAAACACGACATTTTAAAAATGTTTAACATATATACTAAATAATGTCAATACAGAAAAGAAAAAAATGATATTGAATATATTAAACTACAATAAATGTTTTCAAAATAATCCTATATAATTTTTCATTAAATAAAAATGTTGAATGATATTAAATCTTAAAAATCTAAACTATTATATAAAATCTCATATTTATAGTGTAGACAGTCCAATCTATGGTTGAGTCGAACGAGAATGATCTTGTGAGGATAAGACCATTGACTATCTTGTAGACCTTTAGGGACAAAAAAAAGTGAACGCTAAGGCTCAAGGGACATTGATGCGGTGTTGATCGTAGGCACTTTGACACTCAAATTAGCATAGTTGAAGAGAATTTAATAAGGCTGAGAGCGAGAAAGGGTTTATCATAATATGTTTTTTTTTTTTTTTTATACATGCATATGCTTTATGAATTGGTGATTTGGAAAATGAAATATCATTATGAAACTGATTTTAATTGGAAGTATTATTATGCTCTTGTTTACATATGCAAGTGTTTTGTGAAATTGTTTTATGATTTTTATGCATACATTGCCTGTTATTAAGAGTGCATTATGTTTGTGTAACTGACATTGCAAATGAATGAATTGTATAGAGGATAAAGATTATTTTTGAAAGTGATTTTAAAAGTGTGGTCATGTTAGTGTGTATAGATTTTTCCGTTCAATGTGCTTTTAATTCCAAGAGAAAAATTGAATATATCATCTTCTCTAAAATTTATTTAAATGTTATTTCGAGTTTTGTAAAGAGTTTTTCCTCACATTTACCTTTCAAAGAACTCTATTTACTAATTTTTATTATAAAGTTTTATAAACTGAATTTTTGTATTATTAATGTATTAATGAACCATAAGATTTTTTTACTGTCATCCCAAATGCTTCTTGAAAATATTTCTATGTTTAATGTATTCAATCAGTCTTGTTGGTTAATATTCCCAATGAGTAATTGTTTTAAAGTAATCTTTCTAAATTTATTAAATTCTCTTCCAAAGTTATAAGAGGTTTTCAAATGAAGTTCCCTTCACTAAATTTTCCATTATATACTCACTTCATTATGCTTTTAAAACATCATTTTAATAATAAATTGATTTCAATGAACCCATTAATTGAAAAGTCGTCTTTTCTAAGTTACTCCTCCATGCGTTGGTTTTAAGTTAAAATGCTCACTCGTTTTGATAAAACTTCTTGTGGAATCTTTCGAAAATGTTTCTAAATTAAGTTTTACTCCTAAATGTTTTCGAGTAAATGTATCGTGTTTTAAACACTCCCAAAATGTATTTGAACTAATAATTTTAAAAGCATTTCAAATTATTTAAGATCTCTAAATGTTTTTCAAAGAAGCTTTTGAAATTTTATCATCACATATTTGAAAATGAACGTTTTTAAGAAAAAGATTGAAAGAAAGAAAAGAAATATTTCGGCTCATGGTCAATAGTTTATGATATGACTAGTGTGTAGGTGACATTCTAATATGATATGATTGATCTAATTCTATTATGGTGTTCCTTTATGGTATGATCGTGTTACCCGAGTTAAGGGTAATAATATGAATGATTGACCATGTTACCCAGGTCAAAGGTAATAATATGATAAGAATAACCAAATTACTCGGGTTAAAGGTAACATATGATATGGTTGGCCAAATTACCAGGGGTACAGGTAACAACTATGTGACATGAGCTCTTCCAAGATTTTTTTGAAAAGAATTTATGAAATATANTTGTGCATATCAAATTTTCAATTTCTTTTTTTTTTTTTCCCGGATATCAGGTTCTTATTGATGGTAGGTTATTTTGTGAAATTGGTTGCGAATTGGTGATAATTGTAGGTTATATTAACATATTTGGGATACAATTCTTTCGCTGAAAATAGTGATATTGTTTTTCAAGAGTGATGAATATGTGATTTGTACATACCAATTTTTCCTTTTTGCTTGATATCATGTTCTTATGACTGTCATTTTTACCTTCTATTGTAAGAATTAGTTTGTGGGTTACTATGTGATGGGTTTCTGTTGTAGTAATGTGATGGTTTTTTTAATGTTTTTTTTGTATATGATTTGTGGTTAATCTGCTTTGATTTTTTTGTTGTAGGAATGAGGGGAAGCTATTCAAATTTGAAGTGATTATGTTTGGGAACCATGGTAGATTGAAAATATAGATCCGGAAAAAGATACAGTAGAGTGAATTTAACCGAAGACTCCAAGTTAATCAGTGCTGGGTTGCCTCTAGTTTTAGATTAAACGTACAAGATGAAGTTTAAGTTGCCATGGTCATCCAAGACCATTTTGGTGCATTATGACATAAAGTTATTTGATTGCCATGGTCAGCATAATGGTTCTATGATTGCCATGCTTGGGCAGTTTCAGGATTACCATGCAAGCATGCAATGTCAACCATTAATTATAGGAGCCAGATTTCAAGAATAGATGCACCCTAGAATGAAGAAGGGTGCATATATTAAGACCTATGAGGGCATAATACACCCATTGCCTGATCAACCACATTTGCTTGAGCACCCAGATGATAATGAAAGGAGGTTTGGCAGGCCAAAAGGAACAGAAGGAGGGAGTCTGGTGAGCTATGAAAGATGAAAAGATCTTACATTCGTAAAGTGTCACTTCTATGGTGTAGATAGCAACCTTTTTTTTATTTCCATGGATCTTTAGGGTGCTCTTAGGGCCAAAAAATGCCCTCGGCCCAAATAGGCCCAAAAGACGAAGACACCTTTAACAAAGCTCAGAGTCATGACCCAATTCCAATTAGGCCTGCAACAGAGTTTGCATATCAGGTCCGCTTAGTACACCTACCTTGTTGCTCACTACTTGGGCCCAATCAGCAAAGACCCGATTCGCTTAGGCCTCATCACCAGCTTGTCTAGGTCCAGGTCCTTTGATCCTAGACCACCTACTGGACTTAGGATCTACTTGGAGTCCAGGGTTGCCTACTTACTCTAGGACTATCCGAACTCTATCGAAAAGGTCTATTACGATCCTAATTCGTCTAAGATCTGTGCCTTAGACCCGTTGGGACTCATTTTTCCATTAAGGTAAAGAGTCAAAGGTTCTATTTTTTCACAAAACCTCGACTCCAAGGACTCACAGTCCTACTAGGACTCGAAGATCCTACAATCGCTATTTAAACAGAGACCAACCCTTTCATAGGGGGACACAAATTATACCTTTGAACCTATTAGTTCTCACCCCTGGTAATCTTCTCTTTCCCTAACCCTCACTAAATTATCCTCATTTAGCCTTGCTGACTTGAGCGTCGGAATGCCTATGGCAAACACCACCCCGATGTTTTCCGTCCACTTCACGCTTGTTTCCTCGCGTGTGCAAGTGCAGCAGATTGCTGGTGGCCTCAACCTCATGGGATCATACCCTATTTTCGTAAAGGTAGATTTTTTGCATCTACAGTTTGGCGCCCACCATGGGGCCTCTGGCAATCATTCGTCTTTCCAACCCTACTTAGCAAGAAAACTCTCTATGGTTGAAAATTCAGATAACACCAATCTTGGTCTCGAGGCTAGACTCGAAGCTCTGACTACCCTTTTGCAATAGCACTCAGACAAGATGGCAGCACTGGAAGTTGAGAATGCTGCCATCCGGATCCAAAACACCTCCATTCGGGCCGAAAACCAGTCTCTGAAAGAAAAGGTAAGTGAATTCTATGACCTTGAGCTTCAGCCTTGTCAGGTACAACCTAATCATTTTTGCGCATCAGTTCCGTCCATGCAACCTCTCCAGACTCCAGATCACAGACTAACCATCTTGGATACAAGATCGCGACAACTCTATTCATCGCTAGTGGTCGATTCAGCTCAGAATCTAATTGAGCGAGGATTGCCAATAGAGCCACTCTCGGTCGACCCACTTTAGACATGAGATCAAGACATCCAAGTAACAGAAAGCCCACCACAACAAGAGCCACCCATCCTTGCCATCTCGTCTCATCTCTAATCAACCATTCTTACCCAAACCCCACTCGGCTCAACTCATCCTCGTGGGTCAAGCAGGCTCCCTCACCTTCAATCCACCCCGCTCAAGTCCATCTATCCCCACGGACCGAGCGACTCCCAAATAACCCCTCTCACCATCCATGTAGGCCGAAATACCCGATCAGTCACAGTGGGAATCACCCAACCTGAGGGAATGAATGGAGATCCGAATTACCAAGCGGCACACGATAGAATGGTTTGCCAAACTACCCTACGTGATTTGACCTAATGAAACGTACCGAGTGTGAGTCATATGACAAACCAAGCCGACTAGGCTGACTTGGTGGTCTCCACCCCTAGTTAGTAAATACGGGTACGACAAAAAATGGGTACGAAAATTTTACGGGTATGATACAGCAAAGCGTGAAAAATATGTTTGTAAAAATTCGGCCATAAAATTCGGATATAGGAAAAATATGATACAGGTATATACGGGTTTAATACGGCGCATTGTCAATAATAAGTTTTGAAAAAATATGGCAATATCAATCCTAGTTTTAACACTTTTCATGGAGCACCTGGTTAAAATCAATATAGCATTTCAAATGCAAAATATTCAATTAACCAATAACAATTAGACCTAATAATATAACACAAATATTCAAGATCTATAGGTTCTAAGTCGCGACTCATCGTGGAAGTGATCTTATCCATCATCATCGTGTTCATCCTCACATACACAAGCGTGTCTAGCATTTCATGTGACAATCTATTCTTTTTTTTTTGTTTGAGCAACTTCAAAAGCACTCCAATTTCTCTCACATGATGAAGCGCTACGAGGTTAATTCAAAATTCGAATGGCATACTTCTTGAGCATAGGAAGATCATCCCCACTGTAATCCCACCATATTCCTGCAAATGACATAAAAAAATTTCTTAAGTACAAAAGAGAAGCAATGTATAAAAAAAATATACAAATTTTTTAAAAAACTTACGAGGATGACTTGTTTGTAACATCATTTTTGGTGTTGCAATAAATAAAGTAGATGGCCTACTACAATACAATTGAACCTCTCTCATAAATTGATGCTTCTCTTCTATTAGAAGCAAGTTTTCATGAATGAAATTGATGCCATCTTTTATCTCCCTATCCTCTCTAAAATTTTGTGAGAAAAAGTAAGATGGATTGAGAAAGGCAGCCACAACATGTATCGGATGAATGATGTTGTTGATCCGGTGGTTCTCAAACAATTCCCAAATTCTCTCATACTTGCTTGCCTCACTATTACATCTTTCCTTGATTGCAACTTTTGCTCTCATCATTGCTTCATATAAGTAACCAGCAGTAGATCCATCACCATCAACCAAATGAAGAACTCGAACCAATAGCTCAATAGTTTTTATAACCTCTCTTCCTCTAGCCCAAAAATCACTCTGAATAATTTCAGTGACTCTTGTACCTGATTCGATCGTACAATAATCAAAACGCCTCCATTCAGATGAAGCAACAAAGAGTCGAAGTTCATTATCCAAATCCAACACAAATTGAAGCATTAAAAAATTTGAAGCGAATCTTGTGGCACAAGATTGTCTCAATTGTCTATATTTGGTGTACTCTTTCATTACTACATGAAGAACTGTGTACCGTGTCATGAACATAACTATTATTCTTGCTTCATCTGTGGCAACTTTTACCCAATTAATTTCTTCATATATGTCTTTCAAAAGAAGCTGAATTCCATGAGCAACACACCTCGTCTTATGCATTCAAGGATACAATCTAATGAGCATGTCACCAATAGATGTGAAATTGCTACCATTATTAGTTATGAATTGCACAACATGTTCTTGTCCAATTGATTCAATCATAGAAACAACAATTTCTTTCAAATAAATCCCAGTTTTTCTTTCCCAGGAAACATCCAATGATTTAAAAAAAACTGCACCACCAGGTGAATGTGCCACAAGATTAATGAAAGATCGGTGCCTAATATTAGTCCATATATCAGACATTATAGTGCAACCAGATCTAGATATATCCCAAGAACTCTTCACCATAGAAACATACTCATCAACATCTTTTCTAGATTCTGGAATTAACTTAGCTCGAAGAGTTGAGTAAGATGGAAGCTTGTATGCTGCATCATATTCAGCCACTGCCTTAACTAATTCTCCAAAAGCATCGGTTTGAACAATATTAAAAGCGATATTGTTCACCACAAAACACTTAGCAAACATTTTATCAACAAACTCCTTGTCTTTTTTCTTATTCATTTCTAGTAAAGATGCTTGACTTTGACGTCTTTGGCTACCTTTAGAAAGTGGTGAAAATGGTGAATCTGTTTCCTCCTCATGATCATTAGAATTTAAAGCAGTAGAAGAACTAGCATAACTTTTTAATTTTTTGTTACTTCCACTTCCCGACATAGCCAAAAATGCACTTACTTGTGTCTCATGATTGCCTTTATTACAAATCTCAACATCATGGCAAGTAATTCCTGGCAAGTGTGCTTTAATTCTATAAGCCCCACCATTAAATACTTTTTGACAAAATTTACATTTCCATTTATTCCCTTAGAGCTCTTCAACATGCTCCCAAATTTTATCTTTTTTTCGTACCATATTGATTTGAGTTTGCATTTACAAGAACATAAAAGAGAACCACAAGTAAATAAAAGGGTAGTGATATGAATCAATTTATTTAAAATAAGAGTAGCATTTGCATCAATCAATTTGTTTAAATTTAATGTAAGTAGTATATATTTAGCTAATAAGTTAAAATGAAGTTATTGTAAATTAAGGTGGTTTGAACTTTTAATTAAGATCTCTTACAACATATATAACCGACACTGCTACATAGAAGCTAGAAAGCAAGAGATCAAGTCATGGCTGCTTTAGGAATCACTAGTGGTTCTTATCAAGATTTGACCTTAACCACATTTTGACATTCAATCACTTAAGTTTTTGTTGTAAATCTTCAGATCATTGTAAGTCACTTTCTGCAACTACCGATATTAAACCATCAAGATTATTATTACTGAATGAGAAATCAATGAAATGGAAGCAAACCCCAAAGTTTTCCTTAAAATCAGTTCAGTGCCGAGCACTTGAAATTGAGAATAAACTTTCATTTACCATAGGAAAGAAGTTTCAACTGGGTGATGTGATTGAAGCTCAACAGTTTGATAGGGATACTCTTAGTGCTATATTTGACGTTGCATGCGAAATGGAGAAGATTGAGAAGAATTCACCTGGAAGCCAAATACTTAAGGGTTACTTAATGGCTACTCTGTTTTATGAGCCCTCTACTAGAACTAGGCTTTCATTTGAGTCTGCTATAAACTGGTTAGACGAAAAACTCAAGATATTGAACAAGCCCTATGTTAAAAGTATCAAGGTATTTAGTCACTTCTACTATAGCTAGATATTCACATAATTCCAATTCCTACAATTGAATTCCTTATTACGAGATTAAAGTTTTATAAAATTAGTTTGATCTAAGATTCAGACTAATTTTTATCATTTACTAGACTGAAGTTGCGTCAACATCAATAAACAACTAGCTTTTGATCATCCTTTGCTAAAAAATCATAAAATCCAGGTTAGAGCATTTCATGTTAATTACTTAATTTGAAATCTCTCTCTCTCTTTTTTTTTTTTTTTTTTTTTTGGGTTTCTTTTTCACTCTTTGCAATGTTTTGTAGTAATTTCACTCTCACAAGCATTTCATCAAACAGGTTTCAAACAAATCCATCAATCCACCAATATAACAAATCCATCAATCCATCAGCCCTCCTACTACTACTCACACACCAACACAAATACAAGCAATCAACCAACATAAGAGATTCAAAGAAAAGAGAAAAAGTGTGTGCCTTGAAGTCTTACTCTTGGGCTTAAAGCTTGGAAAAGAGAGTTAAAAAGAAAGATAAAGAGAAGAGAAGAAGAGATCAAGATTTAAGAGATGAAGAAAGCTAGAAAAGAAGATTTGAAGAAGAGCTGAACTGCCAAAGACTTCAAAGAGAAGAGAGCTGCCAAAGACGTCAAAGAACCAAGGATGAAGATGAGAAAGAGAGTTTGAGTAATTTGAGTCAAACCCACCCCAAAATGACGTCATTTTGGGGTGTTCAATTATTATTTTTTTTTTCAAAAATTCGCGAATTATACGGCTGGTCCAATTTTATGCGAATAATTCAGCGACCCCTTATAAAATATGTTTATATGCATTTTATACGCGAATTTACTAACTAGGCCTCCTCCTCGCCCATGGAGCAAATATTACCCAAAAGATTGGCCGACACAGAGGTAATGATGAGGCGTATACCTGGAGTGTCAATCCCAACCAAAAAGAGCCAACCTCACGGCTATGTCGATTCACCCTTTGTGGATGCAATTGCGCTAGCCGAGATGCGACACAAATTCACCATCCATAACATGAAGCTTTACGATGGCACAACTGACCTGGATGACCATATAGCCTCATACAAGCAGCGGATGTTTGCCGCCTCGATACTTCAAACATTGAGGGAAGCCTGTATGTGTAAGAGTTTCGGCTCCAGCCTCTCCGGACCAACCCTCCAATCGTACACTAACCTTCCAAACAACTCAATCAACTCATTCGCCCAACTCACTGACACCTTCGTCGAACAATTCACCAGTAGCAAGAAACTCGAGAAACTATCAGTCGACCTATACAGAGTCTACCAGAAGAGGCGGGAGCCACTGTGAGAGTACGTCAGTAAATTCAATAAAGAAAAAATCTCCATCCCATATTGTAATCCTGAGACAACGGTAGATGCTTTCAGAAAAGGCCTCCTCCCAGATGGAGAACTATACAAAAACCTGACAAAGCTTGGCTGCGCCACAATGGAAGACGCCTTAGCTAGAGTAGTGATCCAAATCAGATAGGAGGAAAACGAGGTAAACCGGATGAGGCATGCCAGATATGATGACCATCCCCAAAGGCAGAATGAAAGAAAGCAGAATCCAGAACATTTGAGCCCTGTTATCAACCCCCTCCCCACAATTCGAGTAGAATAAAAAAACCATATGATCGCCAGCCGACTAGAACCGAAAATAGATCACCCAGATCAAACCAATTCAAGATTCCAGAGTACAACCTCAACGTCAAACCAACTCAGGTCGTGGCAATCATGAAAGGAATGAGGCCTACCGTGAAGTGGCCAGCCAAGCTTAATCTCGATGCGAAGAGGGACACGACCAAGTGGTGCAAATTCCATGGCAACCATGGTCATAACACCGCCGATTGCATCGCCCTAAGATTGGAAGTTGTAGCACTATTGAAGATGGGGCATCTCTGAGATCTGTTGACAGATAAAGGGAAGAATACTATTGGCCAGAGAAGCTTGAAAGAAACATCTCCCCTTCAATAGGAACCAACACCAAAGGGGTTCTGTTCCATTATCTCTGGAGGGTCGAAAATCAGTGGGGTGAGTTATTCCTTAGCCAAGCGTTACACTCGAGCCAACCATCACCTAGAAGTCTGGTCCATTCACCCATCCTCTCGGGCGCATACCAACCAAATTATTTAATTTGAAGATGACAAGCGAATCACCTTAGCCGCCCCTCATCACGATGCTCTGGTCATCTCCCTCTAGATTGCCAACATTCTTGTCAAGAGAGTATTCGTTGACGAGGGATCATCGACAAACATCCTCTTCATTGAAGCAGTGAAGGCCATGAGACCGCTACAAAAATGCCTTGATAGACAAAGGTCATGGTTCATAGCAACTACAGTCCCATCCAACCCTTTCGACCAAGCCAGATCAACCATCCATGGAAGAGTTGGATGAAGTGTAGATACATCTGGACCACCCAGACTGAAAGACCTAGATAGGCTCTCACCTCAGCCCCGAGATAAGAGAACGACTTATAGGCTTCCTTAAACAAAATCAGGACTGCTTCACCTAGTCCCACACGGACATGACAAGAGTCAACCCCGAGGTAATCGTCCACCACCTTCACATAGATCCGGATCACCCTCCAGTGAAGCAGAGGTGAAGGAAGTTTGCGCTAGAATGAAGCGTGTCATTAATGAAGAGATTGACAAACTGTTGAGTAATAGACTGATCAGAGAAGTCCATTACCTCGACTGGCTAGCAAACATAGTGGTCGTGAAGAAAAAGAATGGAAAGTGAGGGGTCTGCATAGACTTCACAAATTTGAACAAAGCATGCCCCAAGAACTCCTACCCACTCCCACATATTGACATGATGGTTGATGTGATAGCAGGTCACAAACTCCTAAGTTTTATGGATGCCTTTTCAAAGTACAACTAGATTTTGATGCACCCGGACGACCAGGAGAAGACAATTTTCATCACAGAGAGGGGAACCTACTGCTACAAAGTAATGCCTTTAGGTCTTAAGAACGCTAGCGCCATCTATTAGTGGTTAGTCAACAGAATGTTAGCTGAACACCTCGGAGACACCATGGAAGTATACATTGACGACATGCTCGTCAAGTCCCTTATGGTCGAGTAGCACCTTGACCACCTTAACCAAGCATTCGCCGTCCTAAGGAAATACAATATGAAGCTAAACCCAACTAAGTGTTCGTTCAAGGTCTCATTAAGAAAATTCTTGGGATACATGGTGACTCAGCGTGGGATAGAAGCCAACCCTGACCAAATCCAAGCGATCCTTAACATACCATCACTAACTTGCATCAAAGACGTCCAACGCCTTATAGGGCGAGTAGCTGCCTTGAGCCGATTCATTTCCATATCCGTTGACAAGTGCCACCTC